CGATATAACATAGGAAGAAACAAGCATTTATGTTTATTTTCAGGCTACTGTTGGAGACTTACCCATTCAGGATGTGTGCTACTGTCCAACAACAAAGAAACTAATGATTCGTCTTGCTGACACATGCGACAGGTACTGCTGGACATTCTCAGGCATTTCTGAAATAACAAGAAAGAAAATAAGATCGATACAGGGGTGTGGTGTACAAATACATTGTCGATGAATATTGGGGGGTGAGGGTATTCTTCTTTCTTGCTTTGATTATATATAAATACAACCAAGTATAAATACGAACAACCTGGGACAAGAACTTGTATGTTGGTAACATTCTCCAAAAATATCTGTAAGTACTGTATGTTAAGTTTTTGCATCTAAAAATTCAGCTGTGAACCTTGAAGAGTTCTATCATTTGCATCACATAAACTGAATTGAGTAGCTCGAAAACTACTTTAACACTATGAAACATTTTAAATAACCCGTATGAGGGATTAGGCAATCATTTAAAGGCTTCCTTAAAATTGAGTCAAGAACTCTATTCTTTGTTTCTATATTGAACCCCAACAATGAACCTTTTCTTCTAAGAGTGTCTGCAAAGTTGGTGACTGTTTGTTGTTGGCAGATCTAAACTTACATCCTTGAGGCCTGAAGCAGAAGCTCTGCTCAAAAACGAATCTACTGGGAAGCTTAAAGGCGTCATTGTTACAATGAAAGGAGCTCCGACCATACAGCCTGGATATGACTTCTATTCCCGTTACTTTGCCCCTTGGTTTGGCATCCCTGAAGATCCAGTCACTGGTGAGCTCCAATTATCAACATAGGTCTCTAATTTCAAAACCTACAATACATATATAGAAATATGTAGAAGTTTCCACATGCGAATGTAAAGCCATGAATACTAATGGATATGTACAATGACAGCTAGTCATCATAATGTCATATGAATTTGATTAATTAAAAGACTAATCATTCTTCTTAAAAGGGTCTGCACACACAGTACTTGCTGGCTACTGGTCTGAAAAGCTGAATAAAAAGAAAATGTTGGGTAATGGTCTTTTTTCCCTTTACTGTACTAGAATACAAATCAGAATCCACATTAAAATGAAGCTGATAATGTCAGTAGTCTACATAAATGTTTCAAGTTAATTAATGATTTTCTCAAAAAGCTTGAATAAAATACTGTATTTTTCCTCACAATAAAGTACTTATCCCTTCGATATTTGTTTTTCCAGCCTACCAGTGCTCCAGTCGTGGAGGGGAACTGGAGCTGGAGCTCAGGGATGACGGTCGACTCAACATCAGCGGTCGGGCGCAGATCATTCTTCAGGGAACACTTAAAATCTAGACGACTCGCTCAATCTACTTTTTGAATCTTTGAATAGTTCAATGGAATCATGTTAATCTCCTTTCTTAATGAAGAGCTTCAAACTCATGTTTTTTCACCTTGGTAAATATGGCCCAAATTTTAATAAATTGAGATTAGGAGACTAAATAAAATTTTGTAAACATTCTACTATCAGATTAAAAATTATAAGTCTGCGAAATCAAATGAATGTTTAAATCATTTTTATTGCAAAATATTAATAAAATTGTCTGTTGGGCAAAGTAAGGCTCAGACATTAGGTCCATAATGAAATGATAGCATTACGCAGTTGCTGCGGATTCGGATTTGTCGGCTGCAAGTCCATGATATAAATCTCCCATTCCACCACATCCCAAGATGCTCCATTGGTTTGAGATCTGGTGACTGTGGAGGCCATGATTTGAGCTTTGTGAAGGCACATTTTTCTGCTGGAAGTAGCCATCGGAAGATGGGAACACTGGTCATAAATGGAATTGACATGGTCAACAACAATACTTAGGCTGTGGCACCAACCAACAGTAGCATGAACCATTGCTACAAGGCATGCTGGATCCATGGTTTTATGTTGGTAAAGCCGAATTCTGACCCTACCATCTGAATGTTGCAGCAGAAATCAAGAATCAGACCAAGCAATATTTTTCCAGTCTTCTATCGTTTAATTTTGTGGGCGTAATGATCACTGAGATTGCACATTCTGACAGGACTAAAAATCACTGAGAGGCTCTGGTAATAATTACTTTACCTGTCCCTACCTCTCCATGTTAAACTAATCCAAATAGGGCTTATAGAGTGAAAAGTTAATCTAAAAAGAAATTTTGAAATCTCAATTCTGTACCTTTAACCTGAGCTGTTATATAAGGTTCAAAGTCTAACTTGATTTAAAACACTGCTCTAAGAACACCTAAAAGGTACGAGAAAAAAACCCCATAGCGCTGAAGAGCTGTAATCAATGGACATTCCAATATTTACTGTTGATGCTTTTACCAATGTACCTTTCAAAGGGAATCCTGCCGCAGTATGTCTTATGGAGAATGTAAGTATTACACTATCACAAGACTATAGATTAGTTATTCATGGTAAAAAAATGTAAATGTGTTTATGCAAAATGTTATAAAATGTTTCTCTGTAATACATTTAGGAGCTGCAAGATGAGCTTTATCAAAGCATTGCCGCTGAAATGAATTTATCAGAGACTGCTTTCATCACAAGACTGAATTCGATGGATTTTTCCTCAGGTATTCTCCTGTATTCTGCAACTGAGATGCATGTTGAAATAATCAACCAACTCACATTTACATTTTGAATTTGATGTATTTTGAAAGGTGTAAAGTTTGGGTTACGCTGGTTTACCCCCACAACTGAGGTTGCACTTTGTGGACATGCAACACTGGCCTCAGCAGCGGTGCTCTTTTACATTAAAAGTAAGAAACGCTCGTATTGACATTAATCTTTGACCAAAAAAACAATGGACGGATGACCGTTCTAAAAGCACAATACCATCACACAGAGAATATCAACCCTGTTGTGGTGTTTGAGACGATGAGTGGGGATCTTAAGGTGCGCCAGCATGAAGAATCTCTAATAATGGACTTCCCCTTAAACAAACCAAAGCCCCAGGTATGACCAAAAGACACCTCGTGGCCCCTTTCTTCAATAAAACTAATGACGATTCTCATGATAATTCAAATAGTTGCTCTTGGGCTAAATTTACAGATTTTTTATTTTATTTTATTTTGCAGGACCAACATGAATTCAAGAATCTGTTGAAAGTACGTTTTCCAGGGAGTAATTTAGCATCATATTTTTCCAATATAACATAAGGAGAAACAAACTTTTATGTTCATTTTCAGGCTACTGTTGGAGACTTACCCATTCAGGATGTGTGCTACTGTCCGAAAACATGGAATCTAATGATTTGTCTTGCTGACACATGCGACAGGTACTGCTGGACATTCTCAGGCATTTCTGAAAATAACAATAAAGAAAATAAGACTGATGATGGCATTGTATTTGTTAGATTAGATGATTAGTCAAGAGAGAACTAGAGGACGATCAGCTCAAAGCAAAATTAAATCAAAGCAAACAGCTTTGGAACAGAAAAGAGATAATCTATTGAAAATTGAATGTCAAGCACATTTAAAAAAATGAAAGCAATGATCAACTAGAGACAACATGTTGGTAACATTCTCTAAAAATAAGTTAAGTTTTTGTATCTAAAATTTCTACTGTATATAGAACCCTTGAATGGTTCAGCCAAGTGCTTCATATAGAGCCTTTTAAGGGTTCAAATTATGGGATAATTTTATGGATTATTTTGCTGTATTTAAATTGTATGAATTAAGCAGCTTGTGAACATATTTTTTTCAGTAGAGTTTTTTTTTTATACCTGTATCAAGTATAATTCAATTATTTAAGACATTTCTTCTTATATAAAATCTTTTTGGCATAAAGTCTTTCTTAAAATGGAGTCAAGAACTATATTCTTTAGTTCTATATTGAACCCCAATGAACCTTTTCTTCTAAGAGTGTCTGCAAGGTTGGTGACTTTGTTGTTGGCAGATCAAAACTTACATCTTTGAGGCCTGAAGCAGAAGCTCTGCTGAAAAACGAATCTACTGGGAAGCTTAAAGGCGTCATTGTTACAATGAAAGGAGCGCCGACCGTACAGCCTGGATATGACTTCTATTCCCGTTACTTTGCCCCTTGGTATGGAGTGCCTGAAGATCCAGTCTGTGGTGAGTTAAAATGATCAACACAGGTCTTTAAATTCAAAACCAACAATACATGTGGAAAAATATGTTGAAGTTTCCACATGTGAATATAAAGCCATGAATTCTAATGGATATGTACAATGACAAGTAGTCATCATAATGTCATATGAATTTGATTGATTAAAAGACTAATCATTCTTTTTAAAAGGGTCTGCACACACAGTTCTTGCTGGCTACTGGTCTGAAAAGCTGAATAAAAAGAAAATGTTGGGTAATGGTCTTTTTTCCCTTTACTGTACTAGAATACAAATCAGAATCCACATTAAAATGAAGCTGATAATGTCACTAGTCTACATAAATGTTTTAAGTTAATTAATGGTTTTCTCAAAAAGTTTGAATAAAATGCATAAAATACTGTATTTTTCCTCACAATAAAGTTCTTCTCTCTTCTGTATTTGTTTTTCAAGCCTACCAGTGCTCCAGTCGTGGAGGGGAACTGGAGCTGGAGCTCAGGGATGACGGTCGACTCAACATCAGCGGTCGGGCGCAGATCATTCTTCGGGGAACACTTAAAATCTAGACTTGCTCAATCTACTTTTTGAATCTGTGAATAGTTTAATTGAATCATGTTAATTTTGTATTTCTAAACAAAGAGCAGCAAACTGATTTTTCACTTAGTGGGTGAATATGCCCAAATGTTTTATAAATTGAGATCAGGAGACTAAATAATTTTTTTGTAAACATCTGATTAAAAACTAGAAGTCTGAAATCCAAATGAATATTTCATTAATTTATAATTAAATATAAATAAAGTTGTCTGTTGGGCAGAGTAAGGCTAGATCTTCGGTTATTTCAATCTAGGATGGGCCACACACACAGGCTTTATTAGGTACTGGTGCCAGGTTAAGACCCCTTGTGTCTTCAGAAATCTTTGTGGCATAAATTCAACAAGATGCTGGAAACATTTCTCAGAGATTTTGGTCCGAAAATGCCTTGTTGATGTCAGAGTTCAGAGGAGAATGGTCAGACTCGTTCAAGCTGATAGAAAGCCAACAGTAACTCAAATAACCACTCGTTACAACCAAAGTATGCAGAAGAGCATCTCTGAACTCAGAACATGTCGAACCTTTAAGCAGATGGGCTACAGGCTCACCAAAATTGGACAACAGAAGATTGGAAAAGCATTGTCCGCTGGTGTGAATCTAGATTTCTGCTGCGACATTCAGATAGTAGGATCATAATTTGGTGTAAATAACATAAAAGCATGGATCCAACCTGCCTTGTATCAATGGCTACTGTTGGTGGTGTAATGGTGTTGGGGAATTAGTTCACTCCACTCAAATGGCCTCCATAGTCAATAGATCTCAATCCAATAGAGCACTTTGGATGTGGTGGAACAAGAGATTCGCATCATGGACGTGCAGCTGACAAATCTGCAGCAATTGTGTGATGCTATCATGTCATTATGGACCTGTCTGTGTGCATCTGAAAACGACAAAGATAGAGTTTTAAGGATAATATAACAGTGAAAAGTCCATCTAGAAAAAACATTTTGAAATCTCAAGTCTGTACCTTTAACCTGAGCTGTTATATCAAAAGGTTCAAAGTCTAACTTGATTTCAAACACTGCTCTTAGAACACCTAAAAGGTACGAGAGAAAACCCCAGAGCGCTGAAGAGCTGTAATCAATGGACATTCCAATATTTACTGTTGATGCTTTTACCAATGTACCTTTCAAAGGTAATCCTGCCGCAGTATGTCTTATGGAGAATGTAAGTATCACAAGACTACAGATTAGTTATTCATGGTAATAAAATGTAAATGTATATATGCAAAACGTTATAAAATGTTTCTCTGTAAAACATTTAGGAGCTGCAAGATGAGCTTTATCAAAGCATTGCCGCTGAAATGAATTTATCAGAGACTGCTTTCATCACAAGACTGAATTCGATGGATTTTTCCTCAGGTATTCTCCTGTATTCTGCAGCTGAGATGCATGTTGAAATACTCAAACAACTCACATATATATTTTGAATTCTGTGTATTTTGAAAGGTGTAAAGTTTGGGTTACGCTGGTTTAGCACTAAAACTGAGGTTGCACTTTGTGGACATGCAACACTGGCCTCAGCAGCGGTGCTCTTTTACATTAAAAGTAAGAAACGCACATCCTGACATATATTTTTAACCAAAAAACAATGGACGGATGACCGTTCTAAAAGCACAAAACTATCACACAGAGAATATCAACCCTGTTGTGGTGTTTGAGACAATGAGTGGGGATCTTAAGGTGCGCCAGCATGAAGAATCTCTAATAATGGACTTCCCCTTAAACAAACCAAAGCCCCAGGTATGACCAAAAGACACCTCGTGGCCCCCTTCTTCAATAAAACTAAAATGGACTCTTTTGATCAATCAAGTAGTTGCTTTTGTTCCACATGTGACATTTTGAATGCTTTATTTGCAGGACCAACATGAAATCAAGGATCTTTTGAAGGTAACGCTGGCAGTTAGTATTTCAGTTTTTAGTAAGACACAAGCAGAACATAAATTGTGATACCATTTTGACTTTTCTTTTCAGGCTGCTGTTGGAGACTTACCCATTCAGGATGTGTGCTACTGCCCATCCACAAAGAAACTAATAATTCGTCTAGCTGACACATGCGACAGGTACTGCTGGACATTTCTGAAACTAACAAAGAAACTTTTTGGTGATGGCCTTGTATTTGTGTACATGAGCATTGAATGTGAAAACAGAAAAATCAGTAACGCTTCCTTTTACAGTCCAGTTACCCATGTAAATACTATGTACTTATTTTAGTAACTACAATTACTGGGTATAACTAGTGCCTACCCCTAAACCTACCCCTCTTCCATGTACTTACAGTACCTTATATTAGCCAGTACTTTCTAGGCAAGTACACTGTAAGTATTGTACTGTAAAAGGAAGCGTTACCGAAAAATCAATCTATTTAAAATTATATGTGAAGTAAATTTTAAATGTTTTAGGTCAGAGGAAAAAAAAGATCTATCTACAGTTTACAACACCATATGCTAAACATTCTGCATTGTTAATTCTTCATTGTTGGCAGGTCTGATCTAATCTCTTTGAGGCCAGAGGCAGAGACTCTTCTGAGAAATGAGACCACTGGTAAAATTAAAAGTCTCATCGTTACATTGAAAGGACTACGGACCACTCAGTCTAGATATGACTTTTACTCCCGTGTCTTCGCACCCTGGGTTGGTGTCCCTGAAGATCCAGTCACTGGTGAGCAGAACATTCAAAAGCCATTTGAATTAAAAACGTGTACTATGTAAACTCAAAAATATTACTAAACCATCATGATGGGCTTCACTGGACATAGAGAAATCATTGCTTACTGGCAATCATCAATGTATCACACAACTTTATTTCTAAAAGGGTCTGCACATACAGTCCTTGCTGGCTATTGGTCTGAGAAGCTGGAGAAAAAGAAAATGATGGGTAACAGCCTCCTTTTCCATCAGTGCATCATGTCATCACATACACTGGAATGAAAATAAATATATCAATGAACAAGGATGAGTAACTGTAAAGTTCTGCTTCCATTAACAAAACAAGCTTGAATAAGACATTAATCTTTGCTATGTTTTTTTTTCCTAGCTTACCAGTGTTCCAGTCGTGGTGGTCAGGTAAAGCTGCAGATAAGAGATGACGGTCGACTGGACATCATTGGTCAGGCGCAGATCATTCTTCAGGGAACTTTTAAAATCTAAACAATCTTGCATAACCAATTCATTGAATTTGTGGATAGTTTTGATAGAAATTAAGTGCATTTAATTTTCACTTTATATTAAAAAACAAAAACAAAAAAAAAACAATCACATTTTAAAGAAGAAAAATAAATCATCCACTGACTTTCAAAGCTGCTACATGGAAACGCCTTAATGTAGTGGAGTGAAAAGTACAATATTTGTCTTTAAAATGTAGTTAGTCATAAGTTTCAAGAAAAAAATAACACTTAAGTACAGATACTAAAAAAGTGTACTTAAGTACAGAACTCAAGTAAATGTCCCTACTTTGTTACTTACCTTTGATGTTATTTATATAAAATATGACTTATTGAAAAATAATTCAGGGGACAGGGGACGTAGAATAGAATGCAATAATTTTTATTAAACAAAGTCTTTAAATTCTTAAAACAGGAGAAATAACATTAAACAAGTACAAATATGTATAAATGCACATACACAAAACAGTTATGACACTACATGGATAAAACTGTAATTGATGTAAAAAACATATGATATGAGGTAGGAATTTTTTGAGTGAAGATAATTGTAATTATGTAAGCATGTACTAAGGCCTGTCAATACTGCTGATTCTATATTAAATTTGACATCTATCATTAAAACAAAATAAAAGTTGTCAACAGTTATTTGAAGCTTATGTGTACCATTTCACTTAAATGTTTCAAGTAAGTTTTTCACAGCATTATCTTTGTGTCATACACCAAGTATCAGAAGGGTTTTTGTTTTTATCACAAGTGGATTCCAGGTAGTGCCTCATGGGCGGCAGGAGGTAGCTGGAAGATGTAACTTAAATTAAGGAGAATTTTGTAAATGCAGTTTTACCAAAGAAGTTGTTATGTGAATTTCAATGAAAGAGTGACAAAAAGTGACATCAAAAGACTGAATAAACCAGCACTGAGAGTAAATGCAGCTGTAAAGGATATCATATCTTCCTGTTGAAGGTGACGGAGTAGCTTCTCAAGTGGCGCGTACCGGCGAAGGGTGGAGGCCGAGCCTAGCATGAGGAGCTTATGTTTGGCTCTAGTGATGGCCACATTCAGTCTACGCCAGTCTTGGAGCAACTCTCCCAACTGAAAAATTATTAGACATCTCAGAATAATGAAAAAGATCTTCGTTAATCACCCCAGCCACAGATTATACTTAAAGACCATCATACCATTCAGCACTTACATGAACAGATAATTGATTTAATGGTAAAATAATTTCTTTAAAATTCACTTACGTTGCCCTCAGGGTTGCTTCTAACAAAGGACACAATGATGACACTCTTGTCACGTCCTTGGTATTTGTCCACAGTGTTGACTTCCAGAGCTTTAAAGGCGTCTCCCTGTAGCAGACTGGAGATGGCTTTCAGCTGTTGCCGATATGGAGCAATGACCCCAATATCAGACGCTCTGCATCCAGCCTACGACACATTTAAAATGACCATTTCATTTCAAGTATTACGTAAAAAAAAAAAAAAAATAAAATGCTACTAATGGGATGTTCGGACCTTGAGCAGCAAAGTGACAAGGGCTTGTACCAAGATGGCTTCCGTGTGATTGCTGATTCCACTTTTCTCCACAGTCTCATGGGCAGGAACCTGAAGAAAGGTACAGCACATAAGGATAAGGTAAGAAAAGAACATTTAGGATTCCATAATAGGCAAAATGAGATAAAGTCTAAAGCCCTGTTCACACTGCCGGCTGCATGTAACTAGCCTCTGTAATGTGAAGTTGCTCTAATGTTTTTGGTAGACTGCACTCTGGACATATCTTTAGAAAACATATCTTTATATACATTGCCAGTAAAACTAAGATATTCTAATTTGACTTGGTTACTGCATGCCACATGGATGGGGGTTAAAAAAAAAAGAAAAGAAAGTAAGACTGACTGACCTCAGAGGTGTCCAGGAAACAGACAGGACTATTGGGCTCCAGTGCAGCCAGGACCCAATCACAGTACTGTGGCTGACACACATACAGCTCCAGTTCCTTCTCAACCTGAGCTCTTCTGGGCAGCTGCAGCACTGCGCTTGCCGTCCTTTCAGAACCACACTCCAGTCGGCCCTCGTACATCAGAGCATTGCTCAGGGACATGATCGCACTGCAGGACACACAACAAGTCTAAGAGATGCACAGCTGCAGCTGGTGGTTGTGAATATTCACACAAGTGTATCAGAGAACTCACCTACTAGTATAATACTTGATTTTTGAAATGGCTTTATTAGAGATATTTAATATTAAAAAAGGATTAGTCTGAATCTTTAACCCCCCATTTTGTTTTTTAATTTGCCATTTAACAAATCACATATATACAGTCTGAATGTCTGACTGGTGTAAATCCCCACCTGTTCATTCGATATTGCACATTCAGCTGAACAACTGCATCACTGTGGTGCTCCAGACGCTTAAACAAACTCTCATCCATGCCCAAGGTCCTGAGTAAAAAAAAAAAAAAAGACAAAGGTTTGTGGTCAAATAATAGGGAGTAATAATATGGTGATGGTTTAACTTGGCTAGTTTTGGGAGCTTCATATTTGTGATTAAAACAAGCTGTGATGCAAAACAACAAAAGTTCATCTGAACGCAGACAAAAGTGTACTACCTGGCTTCAGCATTCTGCACAATAGGAGGAAGCTGTTGGTGGTCTCCCACCAGGACAAAACGCTGGGCGTAGAACAGCGGTCCCAAACATACAGGTTGACTGATCTGAGACGCCTCATCCACGATGCAGAAGTCAAAGCGTCTGCGGCTGAAAATTGGGTGCTTCACACCCATACAGGTGGTGGCCACGATAAGCTACAAGAAATATTACAGTGATATTTAAATAAAATAATTTGCATATTTGCACATTTTCCCATTATCCTTCACGTCACATACACTACAATTACTAATTTTGGGGTCAGACAAGGAAGTGCAGATTTTAGCTATTTAAATTGATCAAAAGTGACAGTAAAGACATTTATAATGATATAAATGATTTCTATTACAAATAAATGCTGTTCTTAACTTTCTATTCATTAGAAAAAAGAATCGCTTTACATAAAAACATTTGTTATTATTATTCATGTTGAAAACAGCTGTGCTTCTTAATATGTTTGAGCACCAAATCAGCATATTAGAATGATTTCTGAAGGATCATGTGACACTGAAGACTAGAGTAATGATGCTGAAAATTCAGTTGTGCCATCACAGGAATAAATTACATTTTGAAATATATAAATTGTAATATTTAAAATTGTAATAATATTTTAACTGTATTTTTGATCAAATAAATGGCACCTTGGTGAGCATAAGAGACTTTTAAAATGTATTGAAAATCTTATAGACACCACACTTTTGAACTGTAATGTATGGGTTATATACTGTACAAGACTGAGAGGATTTTAATATGTATTACTTCTTTACTGTACAGTTGTTCCAGCTCTTCTAGTGTCTGCATGCCACTGGCGCGACATGACTCCTCTGTGAAGGGCAGGATGTCATGGTGCACTTTTTGAGTACGACCCAGTCGAAGGAAGCCGATCTTAAACTTCTTCAGTTTCAGGAGGATGTTGTCCACAGCAGAGTGGGTGTAGCTAGTCAGAAGAACACTAAATCCACAAGCATGGAGTATCCGAACCTATAAAACAAGGAAGTGCAAAATAAATGTCAGATTAATATTCCTTTGTTCACAAATAGAAACCACTAGCACACAGTAAGTTTCATTCTACACGTCAGAAAAAAAATGCTTACATTTATTCACTGAATATGAAATCAATTCATAAATAAGCCCTTATGCTCTTACCAGTGTACAAATGGTGGTAGTTTTCCCAGTACCTGGCATTCCCACAATAAGCGTGTAATCTCTGGACAGTAGCACTTTTTTCATGGCTTGTTTCTGGGGTTTATTGAGTCCTGAGAGGCAAAATATGATTAAAACACATCATGTAGGAGCAGAGATGCTCTATTATTATACAAAAGAACACATCAAGGGCATGTTTGAAAGCAGCTCACTGCAGAAAGATTGAAATTATGCTTTACTGAGCGAAGGCAGTGTATGAACACACCTTTGAGAATGTTGGCCACAGTGTCCTTGGCATCTCGTGGCAAAACACTGCTGAGGCTGTCAATGAACTGGGGAGGCCTAAATTCCACAATCAACTCCCTCAATCTTTCACTGCATAACAATGTACACATTGAGCTTTTCGTTTAGATTAAAAAAAACCCACCACATTTTAAGAGACAAAACAAAAAGAAAATGATGATCAGACCTGGTTGGAGTGTTTTCCATTAACATAGATAGGTTTCCTAGATGAGTGCTAAGACCGCCAGCACCTTCATCCTGGTCCAGTCGGAAAACTGTGTTTGAGGAATACTTAGAGAGGTTCCTGAAATTATAGGCGTGTGAAATTAAGCTTTGAACGCTTCAGATTTAGGTCAGATGAATTACAAAATGATCAGCAAGATACTTACTTGTCCAAAGAGCAAGTCAATCCACTGACTGTTATTTCTGTGACGTATCCTGAGGCCAGGCCTATAAGCACAGAGTCCTGATCACTGACCACAATCCTGTCGCCCACTATTAGCCCAGTGAGAGTCTGCTCGCCTTCTTTCCTTTCAAAGCTGTGTTTATATACACCATCAGATAGGATGCTGACGCCTCCAGCTAACCGCATGTTACCCGCACAGCCACCACTTTTCTCCCTGAATGAACAACATAACAATAGGGACATCCATTAAGGACAAATGCATTCAATTAACTCAAACACACAGTGTTAATCTAAAATGCATGAAAAAAAGAAACTGTTTCAAACTCAAATAAAACATAAAACTATTGGAATGAAGAAAATTAAAGGAATGCTTCTGCCAAAAATGTATATTCTGTCATCATTTACTCCCCATGTCCCTCCAAAGAAAGTCAATTTCCCGGTACTCAATTTTTGAGTCTTCTGAAGAGACACAGTCAATTATGAACAAATATAATTTTGCCTTTTCTTCTACTTACCATATTTGTCATGATCTGAGTTATGTTCATCACATTAAGTGATCGAACTTACAATGTACAACTCGTATTTTTTTAAAGACCCACCTCTGCTGGGAAGTCTGAAGCCAGATATTTCGCCGACCTCCTTTGTTCTCCATGGTGAGAGCCTCCAGCGTGCAGAGCAGCAGCCAGTGGCTGAAGTACTGGAGGTGCATCTGGCTGAGGTGCTCGCTCTCTGACTGCACAAATACCTGTTGACCTTCACTACAGCTCCCCACGGGATCTCTCTCCACAGCTCTACACAAATTATACATTTCAGCCAAAGCTCAATTGCATTAAAGAACTCTGTTTGACGTTGGCATGGAAAATGGCACATGTAGAGAGAAAAACAGTACCTGTTGTAAACTGCGCAGTTTCTTTTCTGAGGACAGTACTTGCAAGTCTGCTGGTCAGATACCATGGCAGGCAATGGGGCCATTTGACTTCCACCCTCCATCTTGATCAGATTGTTGCCGATGTGATGGGCCAAAGAGTTCCTTATTTTAATCAGCTCTGTGATGGAAAAAAATATTAATCAGTATAGTCATAAGTAGGATGTAAGCTTATAAGATTTTTATAAGCTACACCAGCTCTAATTTATAACATTTTTTATCAAAAAACTTCATTTAAAGGGATATTTCACCCAACTATGAAAGTTGTCATTCATTATTCACCCTCATATCACAAGCCCATTTCATTTTTAATACACAAATGAAAATATATTTGATTAAATCTGTTTCTGATTTCTGTCCCTCCGTTGAAACTCAATTCCCTCAATTTTTATGCTTCAAAAAGCTCGTAAAGACATACTAAACATAATCCAAATGAAACGAGGCATTTAATATAAGCCTTCTGATGAGACATTATCACTTTTAATGATTAAAAGATTAAATTTAGCTAAATTGGATGCTTGATCCACTAGAACCAATTTGGTTTGTTTATGCATATCGTGAAAAGCATGATTGAGCTTCCACAAGGACCGATGAGGCTTTAGGACAGAAATCTCACAGATTTCATCAAATATCTTCATTTGTTTTTTTTAAAGATGAATGAAAGTCTTATGGGTTTGGAACAACATGAGGGTGGGTAAATGATAACATAATATAGATATAAACTATATTTAAAAAAACCTCTTCTGTCCATGTGGTTGCCCACAACAGGATGTAGACTGCCAGTCTTCAAATAGACGAGGAATCCTGCCTCTGGATCACAACGTCTAGCTGAGCTCATCAATGTGTAAAGAATTACCTAGAATGCAAATAAAATGTCTATAATAAGAAGTGATTTTTGTACATGTAACATTTCTAAAGCAGTTTCTGAAGCATTTTGTACCTGACTGCGATGCTCAATGGAGTTGGACTCCTTGCCGGTTTTCAGCTCCAGTGGCACAATCCTTTCTATGGGCTTTCTGCCTCTCCGGTGAATCCTGACGCCAGCTGTGACATCTATCTTCCCCTTCAGGCCAAAACTCGGACACCAGATGTTCTCCTCGATGTCCACAAAATCTGTGACTGTCATGCTACAGGCTGCATCTTGCTTGCTCAGAGCCCCATCACTAGCGCTGATGGTAAATAAAACACACAAACCATTAAGTTCATCCATAATATCAATCTGGACAAACCAGAAAATGCTGGGCTTGCTCTTAATGGCTTGTTTGAAGAACTATATACACTCACAGTTTCAGAGTGAGCTCCTTTTGACCAGCCTGTGGTGAAGTGTGAAGGTAGTGTTTTGCCCACTCAGATAAAGAGGGAAGATATTCTTCAACTTCCTGCCTCATGTCAGCCTGAGTCAGCTGTAGACTGTACCTAATAAAACCAAGCACAAGACTTTTCACAATACTTTTAAGGCACTGACATAATATCAGGAGCTTCATTACTGTGGTCAAATGCTGTATTACCATGATATAGTAAAGATGTACACAACAGGTCCTTAAGTTGTGTCTCTAAACATGGAATTTATGTTGCATGATAGCCCTTACATTTGTCCAAGGTAGTTGGGGTTTCTTAGGGCATCTGAGGCAAATGTCTGTATCCTCTCTGGAGAGAAATCCGAGGACATGGCTGCTTTTTGGAAGATATCATGGACTATGGTACCATTTAGCATCTGCTTAGATCCACCATCAAATCCCTGCTTAAAAAAAACACACAAGATTTTTGATTATTTGAAGCATTAAAATGCTCTCTAAAAAACAATTAGCATCATAATTTAAGGGAAAGAGTTTTTCTCAGGATTATTTGATCAGTAGAAAGTTCAGACGAGCATTTATTTGAAACATTTATCTTTTGTAAAATTATAAATGTAATTTACTTTTGATCAACTGAATGTGCATTAGTGAGGCACATTCACAACATTCAATTTCCGCACCTTAAACATCTCTCCCAGCACCCCTCTCCTCATACAGCGAATACTGCTGGCAATGCTGGTCCCAGATATCAGCAGGTCAGGCAGCAGAACCAGAAAACCAGAGTCTCTGTCAATCGTCCACAAGCCAGAAACACTCCTCCCTTCCAAGTGAATGATGTCCCCCACAGCAACCGGAGAACTCTCCCTTTAGAAAAAAAGGTTGAAAAGTTCAAGAACTAAGACAGTCAAAAAGAAAGAACTCTCTTAAGAATCTTTCTAATAGTTAAGTAACATTTTGTACCAGCCATCTTTGAGAACACAAGTCTCTGTGGACTGTGTCGTCTTTGAGCAGGTGATGGTTAAGTGTTTCTCTGTGCCACTTTGTGATGAAGTGACGTCTTGTACATCCAGCACCCAGTATCGGTTATGAACACCAGAGGCCAGTGTAACATGCTCTGGTATGCCTTTGATTTTTCTAAAAGTCAAGGAAAAATGTAATGTTCAGTTTTAATACACAAAAATCATGTAAATATAAATAGGCTGAATAAAATATTCATACTCATGACTGAACTTCTTGGGTTTTGGCGCCTCAGATTTTTGCTCCATGCCATCATCAAACCACTCATCCATCAAATCAGTAAAATCATCCTCAAAAGGGGCTGGCGAAGTCTTTCCATCAATTTTTTCTTTCACTTGAAGCTCAGCAGTACTCAATGGCCTCTTCTTAGTAATAGGACAGTTGAGAAAAGTCTCTTTTTCTTCAGTAGACCCATTTTTTATCCATGAACTATAAGACATCACAAGATCTAAGTCATTTGTTCCAGAAACCGCACCCATGCCTATCTCCGGCTTCACTTTATGAGCAAGTAAATTCTCTTTCTCTTTCTCACAGGTACTAAAGGTCAGCTGATTAGAGGATTTTTTTGAGAGCTTTGATAAACCATTTGTTTTTCCAATCGTTTTCACACAAGGCCCATTTGCCAGTCGGCTACTCTCAATACTAACAGACTCGGCTTTGATTTTTTTCTCAGGACTCTTATGAAACATAACAGAGAGCGTTCTCAAAGACTCATTTCGCTTAGTCTCTGGTAAGCTTGCGTCACACTCAGGTAGTTCCTGAACTTGCATGATCTTGGATCGCTTGGCACTCTGGATATTTTCTGAGCTGTGCAACAACCGCTTTACAGAGCCTGAGTGACTTAAGCCATTCTTAAGCTCAAAAGTGTCCTTTGACTCTGGACTGCTGCTGTTCCGTGGTTGCATCAGCTTACGTGCCATCAGGCTAGGTTTACCTCTGACACCTTTAGTATGTAGACCGCGGGACACGGGTGAGCGGTTCTCATATGAAATGTCGGAAGGGTTCTCGGTCCTCAGACTGTCAGGTGTCTCTGGAACAGCAGATGGGGTTGGGGAGCAGGGGACATTTTCATCGTCCACAAAACAAGTCTTCAATGAAACGGGGGATCCAGTAATTCCAGCTTCAAATCTTTTAGGTGACTTCAGAGAAACCTGAAAAAACAAAACAAAAATAAAAGGTATGGTTATCCACTGTATTTTTAATGTAAGAGCAGGCAAGGACATTTTAAACTTGAAAGTGCAACAGTTGCTACATGTTTTTTTTTTTTTTTTTTTTTAAATACAAAACAAATCATTAGGTTCTCACCATCAGGGTATTTAACAAACAACATGAATCCAAATAAGAATGCAAAATTAATTTAAAATTAAAGGACATCATAAATATATCTTAAATAAATTTAAGAGAGAGAGTTTTGGGGGCTTTTTAATTTTATAGATTCAAAATAAATTCAAGGGCTTTTTGGAAATTAACAGAAAAAGGGTTTGAGTCACTCCATTTACTATGAGGAATATAACATTTTTCTCATAAAAGAGTAATAATACACACCTTTCTTTTTAAAATGTTATCTTGATTTGAATAAACTGTAGATAGATTTAGGGCTAACTCGAAATTATTTTATTATGATTTTTAGAGCAACAAACTGGCAAGTTATTTATCATGTTATTATTACTGTAATAAAACACACCATGTGTAGCATAAATAATTTGATCCCATTTTCTTATATTATATTTAGACAAAATAAAATGAACGTGAATAGTGAATGAGGCTGTACTGTAAGTAATTAATTTCCTTTTATGTTATACAGAAGAAATAAAGTCGAAATAAAGTCATATAGGTTTGGAACAACATAAAAGTGAGCAAATGAGAATTTTAACTATCAAAATAAGTTACCAAACAGCTAGATTAGTATTTGATGTACTTACCTTTGAGAGGAAAAAGGCAGAAATGTTTGACTGAACTCCATTGACCATCTAATGTTACAATAACAACAAAAATGTAAGTTAATAACGTTACACGGATGACATGTAACAGTTATATCTAACGTTAGATAGCTAACGTTAAATGACCAACAAAACATCAGGTGTCACTATCAAATACTTACGGAAGATCTGCTGGATTTACACTTCATCATCGTAGACTGCAAACGAATAAAAGACTAAAAAAGATAGCTCTCTAGAGAAAACAATATCACGAAGCAGCTGTAAGTTAAACTTACGAAACTCTCACAAAACTGTGTCACTGATTTTAAAAATAGACACTGCTATAGCTCAAATCTAGCTCGTCCAGAAACAGATTTTCTCACACAGCAACGGTGTTCACATGTGATTTCACATAAAACAAAAAACAGCAGATTTCATGCGTAAATAACTTTTGCTGTATCCCTGCATTGTAAACACTGTCGAAATTCCCGCGTACAGTCGGTGAACAGATCGAGATCACATGAGAAGTCAAACGTTTTCCTCGGTTGTCTTTTTGTGTGCGGAATTTACATCGCCATAACAGGCACACTGCCCTCAAGCGGAAGTAAGATTGTCGATTGAAAAGCTGCAAACAATATTTGCATTAGCCGTTTTTTTAAGAACCACATTAGCCTCATGTCATATGTAAATGAAAAACGGGCAATTATTATATCGTTATTTTCTCCAATTTGACAGAATTTTGCGGTTACCAAGGCAACATACGGTAGAAATAGCTGTTGAGGCCACCGATCAATGGTCGAGGCACATTTTTGAAAATAACATGGTAAGCATTTGTGTTTATTTCAGGTGCTTTGGATTAACCTTCAAATGGTCTTCGTTTACTGTTTACATTTCTGGGCTTTGGGGTCTATACGACCCCAAATATTGATTGAGTAATTGTACAAAAACATATACATTTTTAATCATACAAATAATATCATTTTTTTGTTTACTTCTCATCAATTCATTAATGCTGTGTTTTTGGAGATATAAAGTACTTTTGTATCCATATACCATCACACAATTCCTCAACTACAAAATTAGCTTTAGCATTAGCATATGAAATGTTATTTTTTTATGATACATTGCATATGCTCTAGTCTAGTACTACTAGGCCTTCATTTCTGTGTAAAAATGTTCAATTTATGCTGGACTTTTTTTTTTTGACACATGAAGAAAATATATTTAGTTTTTTTTCACATTTCCCATTCATTTTAACGTGGGGTCATTTTGACCCCGAAGACCAGAAGGGTAAACATTTTTTTACTTCCTTCAGAACAACCGAATCAAGCCCAGTTTGTGTGTGTGTGTGTGTATAGATAGATAGTGTATGAAAAGTCACAAAATCGTATTCCACTGAGATAAAGGGAACCTTTTTTTTTTTTAATTAAGTAAAAGTTGATTGGGGTCATATACCTAGACCCCATGACCCGATTGAGGTTTAATAAAATACAAGTGGATTGTGGCCATAAATGCTGTTAGAGACAGAAATTACAATTGTAGAAAGAATGAAATTTAAAAACACAATAAAAGCTAGAATGTTACAGGTTTTTCTCTCTCTTTTTTTTTGGACATTTACAATTTTTGCATTTGTGTGCCTTTTGGTGTGGTTAACTTCAATATTTGAAACAAGCAGTACTTGAATATCACCTGCAAGCCATAGTAATTTAAAAATATTTGATATTTTCGTATTACATGCACAGCTTATTGTAATTGAATACACTTATAACAAAATGGCATTGAAAACTGAGCCTCATCTTTGAAATATTCATGCCAAGCCAAGCCACCACACACAGACAGTAGAAGGTCTGCTAATATGGACGCGCAAGAAGATGACCTAAAATGTCCTGTTTGTGTAGAGCTTTTCACAGACCCTGTACGCCTTCCATGTGGTCACAACTTCTGTGAAACCTGCATCCATGTGGTCTGGAACATGGATGACCCCAAAACTTCAGGAGAAGGGCCACTGTTCTGCCCGGAGTGTCAGATCCTCCTTCCTTCTAACCTTAAGCTTGAAATCAACTCAGATCTTCAAAGGAAAGTTCAGGATGTCATTGCAAGAGCATCTTCGTTGGAAGGATCTTCTCATAAATCACCCTCCGTTATCATGTGTGATCAGTGCATTGGGAAGACTGAGGTGGCTGTGAAGAGCTGCCTCTCCTGCGACGCCTCCCTGTGCTCTGCTCACACTCTCCTGCATCAGCAGAGAGAGGCTTTAAGAGGGCACTCTCTCATTGAAGTAACAGAGGACTTGATTTCCTTCAAGTGTAAGGAGCATGGGGAGGAGCTGAAACTATTCTGTCAGGAGGACCAGACTACTGTGTGTTGTCTGTGCATTGCAGTTGGGTCACACAAAAACCACCAAGCTGTTACGCTGCAAGAGGCATGCTCAGAATTTAAGGTAGGTAGGCATTTCAATTAATGAAAATGGGTTTTAATTAGTGAAAATATTACAAATATATTATATAAACTATGTATATTATAGATATAATTTAGTACAGAAATAAAATGACATGCTCTTCATAGAAGAGGTGTATTCAGGTAATTTTTGCATGAAGTGGATTTTAATGTTTTTTATAACAAATTAAGAGATCTATTTTTACTCAAACATATTTTTCTCCGATAAATAAACAATTTTCATGTACCATTATTATGCCTATAATTTAGTGTTAAGAAACAGTGTATTGAGAACTTGGAAACATATCTCTTTGTTCTTTTAGAAGGTGCTGGAGACCAACAAATCACTTCTTCTACAGAGGAAACATTTAGCTGAGTCTGCTATGCAAGATCTGAAACCATTATTTTCGGAGGTGTCGGTGGGCATTCCAATATGAGCTTTTTGAATCCTAGTAACCAATTAAACCAAGAAAATGATTGTATACTAATATATTTCCTTTGTCAACTTGTGAGTTCACCAGGCTTTTACTTGGTTTTCTAGAAAAACGCAGAAGCATACAGACTCAGAATAGTTGAGAAATACAACCAGATAAAAGCCCAGATTGAGGAGGATCAGAAGCTGATGCTGGCCATTCTGGAAACAGAAGAATTTTACTACAACAAGTGGCTGAGATGGAAAAATGAGTCACTGGAGTGTCATGTTAAAGATATTAATGCTGCCCTAAGATCAGCCCAATCTCTCCTCGAGGAAGAAAATGACATCATATTTCTCCAGGTGCATATTATAGGTTCACAGTCTGTGTGAATTATACTGTATTTGAGTGCACATTTTACTTTCTTTTTAATATCTGTAGTCTATCAATAACAGAAAACTATTTTTTGCAGCATCTCAAAAAACATAGACTTGGGTGAGTTATTTTTTCTGCATTCCCTTTAAATTGTACTTACATATGGAGTCTCTAAAGGGACATGGTGATGGAAAAAAATTATGAGATGGGAGGAAAAATAATCTCAATGCTTTTGCATTCTGTCGCAAATATTTAGCATTCCTTCAAGAAACTATGCGTCTGCTCGCAAAATGTTTGCTTTCCCCCACTATGCCATGAGACATTATTACCAAAATGAATTTTTTAAATAATTCTTCATCATCGCTTTAGGTCCCAGGTGGATTTGCCACTTGTGTCTGTGATGGAGCAAGAGTACAGCACCACAGACAAGATGAAGACAGTCGAGCAGCTGGTTGATAACTTAAATGAAGTTGTCTTGCAGAACACTCAGCGGCTGTGGTCTAGTACGTGTGATGTTTCAATGCATGTTAAAAGACACTTAGACTTAAATAAAAAGTACAATAATCCTATCTTATAGTGTAACCTATCAATCTTTGCCACCTGCAGGTCTCAGAGCAGTAAATTTAGACCCAGAGACAGCACACCCCGAGTTAGAGGTCTCGGCTGACAAACTGGAGGTACACTGGAGTAAGAAACCAACCGCAGAAAGGAAACAGAAAACAAACATCGGCTCTCAGTACAGCGTCCAGGTCAAGGAGAGATTCTCCAGTGGCTCTCACTACTGGGAGGTGGCCGTCTGGAAGAAACCCTATTGGTTGATTGGCCTGTCATATGGGTCAGCTACTAGAGGTCAGGATTCTGAGCATCGCAACAGTGACTTTAACGGTTTGTTCTGCTACATCTATCATGGTAATGGAAAATATCTTGTTTGTCAGGACTCAAATGAAAAGTTCCTGGCAGTGAGGAAAACAATCCAAAAACTTGGAATATGGGTAGACATCTCGAAAGGAGCTGTGTCTTTCTATGACGGAGACACGCTAACTTTGCTCCACTCATTCCGCGTTGAGTTTTCTGGCCCAGTTCGTCCCATTTTTAATCCTTGTATTGACATAAATGGCCAAAACAGTCAGCCTCTTTCCATTGTCCACCTAAGAAACAAAAATAATTCGTAAAGCACTTTACAAAATCCTCCCTCCATTTCCTTTACACAAATAATACATGGATTATTATATTGTATGTGTCTATTTAAAATAGTTGGGTTTGGTGAAGTAAATATCTCACATTCTCTTTGGTTCTTTTTTGTCATTTCTGCAACGATGGATAACTATGATTAACCTTCTGGGTGTTTTAAACCTGAAAAGAAGTGTGAGAAAGAAGAACATTTTTAACAACATGCAAATTATACCTAATAAACCACTTTGTATTTTTATTTAAAGGGATAGTTCACTTTGAAATTCATTTTTGGTATGTTTTAGCTTACCTCAAGGGCATCCAAGACGTAGGTGTCTTTGTTTCCACAGTATTTTAAATTTTATATTTTTAAGTCAAACTGTTCCTGTCTGTCAGTCATATAATGGAGGTATATGGGGTCCACCTCAAAGACCATGCACAGAGAAGTCCAAATTAAACATTATTTAATGAATCATATATGTAAGTACACACGAAACGAGCGGTTTGTGTGAGAAAACGAACAGTATTTATATCTGTTTTTTTTCCTCTTGTAATCACAGTCATGTAATTTGGACTTCTCAGTGCAAGCTCTTTGAGGAGGACCCCATATACCTCCATTATATGCCTGACAGACAAGAACCGTTTGACCTAAAAATATCAAAATTGAAAAGACTGTGGAAACGAAGACTTGGATGCCCTTGAGGTAAGCTAAAACATATCAAAAATTAATTTCAAAGTAAACTATCCCTTTAAAAGTTAGTTTAACAATTCTGTCTTCTTTTGCGTTTTCTGTCCATACAGTTAAAGTCAGTTAGGTCCAGTTCTGTTTTGGACCTCATTTACTCTTGTTGTATAATATGAGGGTGAGTAAATGATGACAGAATTTTTGTATGACAGATCCCTTTACAAGGCGCCTGCTTAATTCAAAAATGAAATTTTAGTTAAAATTGTCAAAGTAGCTGCAAAGACTAACAAGATATATAGAGATATAACTATAGATTATAGATTAGTTTTGTTCATGACTGTCCTTATGTTCATAGATATGTCCATAAAACCTGACTTTGACCAGCCTTAGATGAAAGAAAACTCTTCTTGACAAAGTTGTAGTCCACCTTAAGCTGAGATGGGCCTCCTGCCAGTGCTCTGATAATGTGATACAGGCACTCCCTAAAGACACGGGAACAAGGACAGTATACTGACTACTTTGTCTGCTGTAGGAGTTTTTCTAATTACAGCGGAGCTGTCCACTTCAGCACCTCACATGCACAATGCCACATCTGCAACTCACATCAGGTATGTGAACTTGCTTGTCCCTCTATTTTTGTTTCTTATAAATAAAGAACAAAGTATAACAGGCGGCCTTCAAATGGTGTTGTTATCGGATTAACTCTAGACTACCAACACTTTCCCGTTACGGTTAGTGTAAACCTTTACTTTTAGTTTTACTTTTAGCAGAAAATCCATGTATTTATATTATAAATCTATATTTGAACTCATGTGCTTTAATTTTTTATCTTAGATCTGGTGTATACCCGAGACATCCATTGTAGTTATCAGTCACCTTAGAAGCTAAAGTCTAAGAGCAGTCAGTCTGAGTAAAGTGTTCTTTCCAAAGCTCTCAAATAACATATAGATAATGCAGGACAGCTCTACCCAGTGCCCAAAACGTATGAGTTCAGTCGAATTATACAACATTTTTATAGCACACTTATGTCTTATGCCTAAACCTTTTGCTCTTAAAGCTACTTTCACATTATGTAATTCCCTTTTTGGTTAGATATATATAGATATGGATAGCTTGCACATTACATGGACATCAGTTGTTGTTGTTGGTTTTGTTTTTGTTGTTGTTGTTTCAACATGAAAATCTAAATTGTATATACAGTGCAGTGGGAAGTTCTGGGAACCAAAAGTCCTCATTGAAATAAGTCTAATTTAATCCTGCAAAGTTTAAATAACAAAGTTTCTCAAAATTGTTGTGCTAATAATATCATTTGTAATAAATAAAAAATGCACAAAATATGCATTTTACTTGTGGCCTCAGACTTATGAAACCCAGGCTTTGTATATATGATTGCAAATATTTTTTTTAATTTACTTATAGTATAGAATTTTAGCATACAAATAATCCATATAGCCAAAATTAGTATGAGGTCATAAAACAATATTTTAACGTTTTAAAAAAAAAAAGATTAAATTATTTTAGATGAATTATTGCATGTCACAATGCAAGATACTGTTGTCACATGTTAACTACTATACTATATTATACTATAGTGAAGGGAGAGAGTGACCCATGGCTTTGACTCTTGAAGTTTTGCTGATTTATGTAGCACAGTTCTCTTGAGGCAGCAAGCGTAGTGCTGTTAGCCCATATACTGTGCTGAATGCATAAAATATTTGAGTCACTCAAAAAAAAAAAAAAAGGCAAGGCATAATGCAGTGCTTAACAAGGTTAATTAAAAGGTTTAACACTTTCTTCTAACAACATTTTTGAGTAAATTGACTTTCAAACTTGGGCCAAAAATTAAAACAGAAACATTTCCCACAATACGTTACTTTGTTTCAATAAAAAAAAAGGTCATGTACAGTTTTGGAATGACATGAGCGAGTAAATAATGTCTTCAACTATTCCTTTAACTAACTATTCCTTTATTTTTTTTTTCATTTAGCAAAATCACAAACGACAGCAAAATAAGCCAGCAAATATGTAGTATAAATGGAAATGTTTAATAACAAATGTATGTGACATGCATGCTGGGAACAGAAGCACATAGTGCTGTTGACACAATTACAGATAATCTGTAAGTAGCTAAGAGTTTACGCTAATGCAAGCACAGCTAATCATTACGATTCTGCCCCATGACAGTCATTTCTTTTACACTTTACAGTATAATTGTCTTGTCAAAATGACAGTGAATGAACAGCAACAGCTATGACATACTTTAAATTCACAGTTTTTTACACTGATAGTCTGCTGAGACCCAGGATTGTTTCTGTTCAGATGTAATCTCAGCGGCCTTTTCTCAACCCCTATTACGGTGTAAATCTATTTACAAGGGGCTTTCCCTCTAGGCCCCCCTCTGCGGGTGAGCTGAACCTTTTGCCACCTGTCACAAAACAGACAGAGAGCTGGCACACCTGATTGGCTCAGTTCTAGAATGAGGTGGTCTTAAGAATGTGAGTGACAGGCTGAGTGCAGGAAGTATAAGGTTTTCAGTGTGTGTGTGTGTGTGGTGTGTGGGGGGGGGGGGGGGACGTTAGAGAAGACGCACTAAGTCGTGTGGGTGGCTTAAATCCAGTATGCGTGAGCCAGTAAGGAGCAGAGAGCTGTTTTGTGTTCTGTGTAGAAGAGAGGGAGGCACAGAGACTACAAACACATGAATAGCCAGTTTTTCTGAAGACTCTAAAGGAGGGATTTTTTCTGCATTCCTTCCCACTGCTGCTGTGTAGCGGATGGGACAGAGCTGTTGAGAGGGGAGTTAACAGGTAAAGGGAGGGGTTTGACTGTAATTTCTATGTTCCTGTTCATGTAACAGATATAGGAGTGAGGACAGGAGGAGGAGTTGGAGGAATCCTATTAGCTACAGTACAGAAAAAGTAGGTCTAAAGGGCCTGCATAACAGAAAGTAGATGTGTGAAATATATGCATTTGAATAACTTTCCTTCAGCTAATTTTGTCATTTTCAGTGATTATGGAAATAAAATAGTACAACAATGATTTCAATTGCTGAGAAAGTCAAAATAGTTAATGGACATTAACTATTAACAATAATTAACTATCTCTTATAGACATCAGCTTGGCAATATTAGGTTTTACGGTTATAGTTTTAACTTAATTCTTTGTAATCGCTGGAGCAAAGGTTTTAATTGTTGGTTTAATCTCAATGAATTTTGAGATTAAATTAATTTTGAATCTCAATGAAAATACAACGAAACATAATACAATTTCATAGATGCTTTAATAAATGATCCTCAACTTTGTACATCATACATGTAAAACATAAATATTTAAGAGAACAAATTCAATTTAATATTTCTAGTTAATTCTAGCTAATTTATCTCAAACATCCGACAGGATACTGTCATGGATGTATGTTCTTTCAGTCAAGGAATTTGATCCAAACAGTTAATTAAAGGGAGATCAATTTCAAGTTGTTACAGGTTACCTTGGAACATGTAAAATGTATTAAGTTACTAGGCGAGCAGCATACATTCAACAAATTTCAGCTAAAGGACTGCAAGAAGACCACATTAAATAGGGGATTTGAATGTGAAAATCTGCTGATAAAGAGCTCCCATTCATGTTTTTGAGCACGTGTGTTGTCTTTAAGGAAAACTATGCACTATCCTTCCCTGCCTCCTCCCCCATAACTGCAGTGGTGGTCATGATGCAGGGTGCATACGACTCAATCAATTGAGCGCAACATCTGGCACAAGTCCAATCGCAGACACACTTCCCCACTTTCACAAGAGCTGACAGAACACAAGCAGTTGTGGCAGATTGCATGTGAGAGGTTAGAATAGCTTATGTGCATCAAAGAGAGTGAGTCCTTTAGGGTAGTTTTTAATGATCAGCCTCATCTCATCTCTGAGCTGTATGCAGTATGTTTATTGTATTTCATTTAATGTGAACTGACTTCATGGTTTTGTAAAGGTGATTGCAGTCTAATTCAAATGTTAAGACTTTTCTGAATCCATTACAGGAGAAAAAAATCTATATTGTTCTGTATGGTCACCAGGATATGTTATGTTTTGGATGTAGCTAGCTAGCCTATAGCTACCAGCTAGCCTACCCAGCATGGGTTCTTTGGTCAGAGACACCAGATGCTAGTTGTATTGTTGTTGTTTTTTTAGTGTGAGTTGTATGTCTAGTCTATCATCGTATTACATCTAAGGATTCAGTCATTAATTCCTTCAAGACAAGTAGGTAATCATATTATACATTACTATACTTCTGAGTGAGCTAGCATACAATTTTGTCACAGTATGTATGTCACTCTACGTCACACTACATATGTATATGAAGAGGGAGTGGGGCAGAGAACCTGCCAGTAGCAATACTGAGGTGCTTGCCTGTCTGGAGTTTGCTTTACATTCTTTTATTAGCATGTTACACATTTAGACCCTCTTTCCATAAGTAAACATGCTCAGCTTGATTTAGAGGAGCACAGTATAGCAAGAGGAGTCAAGGTGGCTAGTTCACAATTCTCTTTACTCAAGATATTTGCTTTAGAGAAAATTATTCACTATTATTTTCCTATTTAATAGATGTCACTTCTAATTAGAGTTCAAAATACTGTAGCCTAGAGCTAATATGTGGGTCAATGTATAAATGCCATGCTCAATAGAAATACGGTATAACGTAAGTTGTAAAACAAAAATGATCAAATTATTATTTATTTAATGTGTAACACATCATTGGTTTTATTTCTTACCAATTGTGTTCTTCCTAACTGATGGAGGAATTTGTTTCAAAATATTCTCTTGAAAGTAAGTAAATTCTCTTCTTTTTTGTTTCTTACAGGTTATTTTGAGGATGATATAGGAGTCCATCCAAACTATCTCTCAGATGTGAACACCAACAAACTTCCAAAGCAAACAAGATGACCAGTGTTGATTAATTTAATTATAGAGAAGAGTTGTTGTGCTATCTGCAGGCTGCTTTTGGTCAGTCATGTCTCAATCAGGTAAAATCCTTCACCTCTATGTAGAGGTGAGGTCTGTTACTGATGAAGATGGAAAAGACCTAGGAGATGTGGAGAAAACAGACTCCCTCATGTTGACAGCACCAGACATCCTTCCACAGTCTCAGTATGGTGGCTCTAATGCCCCACATGACCGGGCATCTCCACGTGGAGTCCTGCATAAAGGTGGAAGCAGCACTCAGAGCCTAGCCTCCAGTAAATCAACATCTAGACACTCTGTAAGTTTTCAGCTACACCCAGGACATGACTCGGAACAACCGGGTTCCCAACACCAAAAGAGTCTACCTTATGATGAGATAAGCCAGTTACTCTCAGCTTTTCAAACAGGAACCACTGGAAATACACGTCACTTGGTGTGTGCTCCTTCTGAACGTGACCCCTCCTTTGGAAAGGACCCTCACTTCTCAGGATGGTTTACTGCCCCTCCTACTCCCAGTGGAACCCGTAAGGCATGCAGCCCAACTAAGATAAAGGGGGGAGATGAAGGGAGACGATCTTTTGCCACTTTCAGTTACATTGAAAAAGCTAAAATTAAATCTGTAGAGGGTCAGTATAACTCTTTGTGCCAAAGCGAGCCTCAGAATCCCTTCAACAGAACCATGGAGAATCGAGCTACCCCTCTCCACCTCAGGAAAAGGCTTAGTGACCCAGTGTGGTTGGAGAACAGCTTGGAGTCCATAAACAACTGCAGCTCAAAACAGCTTAGTCAAGGTTTGGGGAACTCACATATGAGCCCCCCCAGCATTAGGCGGGCAACTCTAGACTCTGTTGCGAGAGAAGCCACCCATCGAGCATTGGAGGAATTTGGTTCCCCACAACTAAGGCAAAAACTGGCAGGAAACTGCCCTGATAGAGGTCACGATGTCAGGAGAGAACAACGTCGCTGTCAGTCTTGGTCTGGGTCACCGGTTTTACCATGCAGTTCTAGGACCCTGCCCCCTAAAGCAACAATCATGGATCATGAGCGGAATAGTTCGTTTTATAGACTTCCTAGGAGCCCTGCTACTGACCAACTGTCTAACCATGCCAAGCAAGCCTACTTTACCATGTCACACTCAACCGTCAACACTCAGGAGGCCTCAAACCAAAGAGCACAAGGGTATAGGTATAGGCCAAATTTACCATCCTGTAAGCCTACAGCTATTCAACATGAACTGCCATCTATGATTGTAACTCAACCATCTAGCAATCAACGAATCTGTCATTCCATGAATGACAGTTCACGGCAAGCCCACAGAGTTAATTTCAAACTAGCCAACTCCAAAAATAAGGTAGAAGAAGCTAACCTACTGAGTGGAAGGAGGAGTGTATCCCCAGCCTCAAGTCCTGAATTGGCTTGTAAACTAGCGGAGGAAGCCATCAAACTCTCCATACTTATGGAAGCCAGGAGGTCTCCATCCCCAACGCAATCGTCGACAGACACAGTGCGGTCTGACAGTCCCCATTTAGGGCATTCAAGAGAGCCTCAACTATATGCTAGCTTCCAAGGCTCAGCATCAAAACCCCAATCTAATTACAAACTTTCTGTTCAGGACCACCATTGGAAACACGAGTCTGTCGAGACTGGTCACCAATCAGTTCAAACAACCTCTCTTTTGCCCCACCTTGGAAGTACATCTCCTGCAGCTCCAGCAAGGTTGAAACGATCAGATGTAATATCATCCTCTCCCATACGAGACCCACGGATAGAGAGAACAGAGTTGGATGGAAAGGACAGC